CTTTTTTTTTTTTTTTTTTTTGCAGCCCTATATGCAAACTGTCACTTCAGGTTAGCACAAGACCTGATGTAGCTCATTAGCATGAGCTGTATCTAATATGCTTAAAACCTCTAATTATTTATTATGCCCTAATTGGCAGCCCAAGAAATGTCTGCAAAGTGATGAGTGTTCATCCCAAGACGCCTTTCAAGAAGAATTCAGCAGTGTCCCTGGTCAAACGTCATTTTTAATTCTTCGTTTGGGGCGCAGGCTTTATTCCCCTTGTAGAGGATCCAGCGCTAAGAGAACTCGTACACCTCGCTATCCCGAGGACTAGCCTCTCTCCACCCTGGGCACGATGGGCAACAATTACTCACGAACACGGTTTAATGCTCAAAGTCCTTCTTTCTGTAAACGGACGCTTAGGAAGAGACGTTAAAGTTTATCAAGTATGCGAAAGTGTAGGCAGATGCTCCTTGAAAAAATGACTTACCCGAAGGAACAGCCATCAGGGAAAAATCGCTTTCCTGCCTTCTGAAAGTAGCAAAGTTTTGAAAATTATATTCACACAGAAACTGTTTCAAAATAAGCTTACCTCTCGGGGGTCGCTCCCCCTCTCTCCTAATTGCCTTTTTTTTTCCCCCCCTCCTTCCAAGTCTGCATTATGTTTCTTCGGGTTGTGCCAACTATTTATTTATCTTTATTCTTTCTCTCTTTTCATTCATTATTCTCTCTCCCTCTTTTTTTTTTTCTTCCCCCTTCCTTGTGTGTGTGGCTTCTCGGTCTGATCTGTAGCTTGTTACCACCCACTGCACGCTCTCTCCTGCAGCCGAGGTGTTTCTATACAAACTTCAGCGTCCAGTTGTCATATTAATTATTACACTGAGTAATGACTGAAATAGTCAAAATAAGGGGAGACTCAAGAGAGCTTTTTCTTGCTGCTCAAAGATTCAGCAAAGAAGCCTTGCAACAAAGCACTAATTGGTCCCCAGAAATACTCTGACAAGGCATGGAAGATAGGTTTCATAAAGCCCAGCAATTGTGAAGGGGGAAAAGATCCTTGAATAGACCCCACGCTTCTTTTCTAAACTCTCTTGCTGAGCAAAAAATGGACTGCTTCTTGAATACTGGACTGATCTTGAATGCTATACCCAGCAGAGAAAAAAATGCACCATTTATTGTAAGTTTTTTTTCCAGCTATTCATGTGTTCTATGTGGAGAATAAGCTGGTTTTGTTTACCATGAAAGACCTTTTACTTTATTTTCACTCTTGGGGGGGAAGCTGGAGAGGGGAGGGGGAGGGCGAGGGGAGGGAGAGAAACACATGTGCCCAAATCCAGACGAGCTGCCTACTGTAACAAAATGGAGTGTAACAAATCCTACAGAAGTCCCGAATGTATCGATTCTTTGAAGATCTATATAGATTAACGACTTTCGTTCTGCTTTTCCAAGACGGCATTTAATCATAACGTAAATGGCCTTTAAAAAAGAAAAGGGGTGAAAAAAAAAAAGGCATCCCAAAGTTTAAAAAAAAAAAAAAAAGCAAGGACTTCAAAAGACCTCATGAGTGTGGCTACAATTTAGGCACACAAAAAAGCCACTATAAAATAATGACAGTTCCAGATTTAAAAAAAAAAAAAAAGG